GCAAAGATGCTCCTGGTGTCTTATCGTTTGGACGCTGTACGATTCTGGGAGCCCTGTGCCGGGACCTGGGGCAGAGACCAGCATTTTCACCATTTCACAAGAGCCATTTGGATTGAGATAAAATTTAATTGATATCGTTTATCATCTCCCAGCCTACGTTTCAAATAGCTCTTGATAGATAGTTATCATAAGTACTGGAAGAAAAATGCAGATAAATCCTTTTATAGTCTGGAGTGGAAAATTATGATTCGAAATTCAAGAGCAACATAAGAAAAGAGTGATAAATTCAGTTGCATTAGGGGGGAAAAACCTTCCTACGGAGGGTGAGGGGAATCACCGTAAGAAGAGTGGAAAACCAAATCATAAACCAGAAAAACTAATTGCAACGTAATCACAAACAAAGCTTATTTCTTTAAAATACAAAGGCGAATGCGGGGGGGGGAGTGAAATGGGGGACACCTGTAATAGTGTCAACAACAACGAAAAAGCTAATAAAAAATAAAAGAGGAAGCCAGTAGGAAGTGGGTGAAAGACCTGGACATTCAGTTACAGAGAAATAAGTGCAGGTGGCCNAAAAAGCTAATGAAAAATAAAAGAGGAAGCCAGTAGGAAGTGGGTGAAAGACCTGGACATTCAGTTACAGAGAAATAAGTGCAGGTGGCCTTTCAAGTGTCTGCAGCGATGTTCAATGCCTCGTGTAAGAGAAATGGGAATGAAAATGGAGCCAGGACACAAAATGCTAGTTCGACAGCCGCCTCTGCCATTTGGCCGGTTCCTAGGTGCCTGTTTCTGGCTCCTGTCCAGGTGGCGTCTCCGGAAATGACCCGCGTGGTGGTGGTTGGGTTGTGTGTAGGTCTGCTCTGCAGCAGCCTCCCGGAGAGTCTCTCGGATTTTGCCCCGTGGACAGCATGTTTCCTGCAGACAGTGCCGGTTGGACCTCATCCTTGCCAGCCTCCTCTGTTTCTGCTGCGATGCCCAAGGCCCCGCGCAGCGGAGGGACTCTGGTCCCTGCTCGTGAGCAGGGGCGGGATCTGAAGTTGGGTCCTGGACTCCAAGGCCCTGTCTCGCTGCCTCTTGCTACCTTGGGGTGGGGGTGGGGGGGAGTCCTGGGACTTGTGGCAATGGCAGGGAAGTTTAGGGACATCATGACTTTGGGATCGTGTCTGAGCTGGTCCTTGACTGGCTGGGAAAACAGGAGGCAGAGGGGGGCCCTCGGGCGTCCTGGTCCTGAGTGGCTGGGCACGGGGACCATTGCTGGGCATGGGGGCTCCTGCCTCGCCTGCACCACCCGCTGCCGTCACAGGTGCCTCCGACAGTGCGCACATTTCCCCGCACCATTTGCGTGTGTCACCGCCCTCCTCCTGTCCACAGGGGCCAGCGGAGTGTGGCGAATGATGGGAACACAGAGAGACGATCCGAATTCTCAGCAGTAATTTTCCCGAAAAGTCAAGGTCCAAAGGAGAACGCCAAACGGGTGGCCAGAGCTCCTCTGTCGCCTCAACCCAGTGTGTGCGTGTTCCTTTTCAAAGGACAGCAAGCCCGGAATATATTAGATGCCACTGTCGCTTCAGGTGTCGGTTCTCGGGGAGAAAAGTGATTGTGGCGGTTAACGTGGATTTGGGACGTGGTCCTTCTCCGAGTAATTTGAGGACAGTGGCACATGTGGTGATATTCTGGGTCTAGGCTCTTAAAGGAGACGGAGAGTAAATGGTCTTGAGTCGTTCTGCCGTGGTTCTTCGGTGTGGATACCGACCAGGTCGGCCAGACTTCCCCGCTTCCGACTGTTACCGGGTCAGTGGACTCAGACCAGCTCGGCCACTTCTAGGGAATGGAATGCAGGTCTGCTTGTCCTGGAACCTGAAGGAAACAGGCAGACAGACAGACACAGCCGTGACGTGGACCCGATCCTGGCTCCCGGGCAGCCCGCCCTGATGGCTGGGAAGAGCAGTGGAGGAAGTGGGTCACCCCGGGTGCTGCCAGACACCCCCTACTCCCCCCNCACCAGGGACGTGCTGGCCCTGTCTTAGCCTAAAGACGTCTCCCTATTTTACGATGTTAATCGAGCCCATCCTTCTGGCCCCCTCCCTGCCCAGTCAAAACTTCCCGTGGTTCTCTACCCCGTGGACAGGACTTTCCTAAGCTCCCGTGTCCCCGGAGAGGAGCCGTTCCCCAATCGCCCACAAGGGTGTTGTGCATGCCTGTCCTGTGTCCGTCTTTTACGATCCACCGCTTGGGACGGCTCACCAGAGTGTTGACCTAACCCAAGTCTTTCGGATTAAATTTTTACTCTAAAATATTCACCCTGCCAAGAGGTAAAAAGAAGAACCCGCAACCTGCTGAAGGTAGAGACCTTTGTTGTGTGCTCTCCCTTTCTGCGCAACCAATTATGCCAGAATTAGGGGCGTAAAAGTCAACATTTATTGTCTTGGAATCAGTGGGTGAGGGTCTGGAGCTCAGCTGGATGATCCTGGCTCAGGGTTGAGACGTGGGCCAGGGCGACTGTCATCTGAAGGCTTGAGTGGGGCCGGAGGAGCCGCTTTGAGATGAACCTCACGGGGCGGCTGGCAGGAGGCCGCAGGTGTGGCCCGTGGGGCGCTCTCCACGGTGCTGACCAGGTGCCCACACAGGTGGCCTTGGGGCGCTCTCCGCGGTGCTGCTTGAGCGTCCGCACAATGTGGCAGCCGCTTCCCCCAGGCCCGAGGGGGCATCGTGACCGCACGTCATGACCTGGTCTCGCTAGTCGCACGTCGTCGCTTCTGCCTTAGTCTGTTCACTAGCGGCAAGTTACTGCGTCCAGCAGTGTCAAAGAATTTGTGAACGTATTTTAAACCCTCACAATTCCCGAGATAGTCGGAGCCCCTGCCCGATGGCACCCCCTTGTCTCCCCCACACACGTAACCGCTGTTAGAGCCCGGTGTGTGCGTGTAACACCGTGTGTGTACGTTCACCTGCACCTGTCATCTTTGTGATACCAGATTGTACGTGATTTTCCGAAACTTGCCCTCTTTGGCCTCACGTTATATTTGTGAGATTTACGCGTGTAAAAGCGTAGCTGTAGTTCACACCTTCCTACCGCTGGGTGTTAGGTCATTGTAGGAACGTAAAGCTGTCTGTCTGTCTTCTATCGCTGGACGTTTCGGTGGTGTCCACTTTCTCGCCGCCATGCACAGGGCTGTTAGGAAGACTCGTGTGTGTGACCGTGAGCCAGATTCGTCGAGAATATTTAGCAGGGGTTGGAATTGCTGCAGGAGAGAGCACACGCATCTTCAAATGGACCAGAAGCGGCCGAATCGTGTTCCCCAGTGGGTGGGATAATGCCCATTCCCATTGGTCTCACATATTTATTATTCTGCGAATTACTGGTTCATACCTATCGCCCCTTGTTCAATTTTCTTATGGATCAGCCTGATCCTTCATTTGGCTCATCTATTAGAAATATCTTTTCCTACTTCTTCCCACCANCACTTCTTCCTACCAACCTAATGTAGGAGCTGAGAGCGGGGATTCTTGGGCCACCCTGCCTGGCCCGGTGCTGGGCTCAGAGCCAGTGAGGGACATGCACACACTCATGCACATGACAGCCGACCCCCAAGGGCCTCCCCACGTCTCTGTGTTCACGGCACGTCTTCAGGGTGAACCATCTGTGCAGAGGGGCAGGTCATCACAATAACAGCCCTGCTTTAGCCAGCGCACGCCCAAGGGGTCCCGGGAGGGAGGGGAGAGGGCCCTGCAGCCCAGAAGAGGAATTTCATCTCTTTCTTTGGAGAAAATGGAAAGTGGCGCTGGGCCCAAGTGGTAGTGACCTTGCCCTCGAGTTAACACGCTGCGGGAGAAATTAGAGCAGACAGACGTGGGGAGAATGCTAATGAATTGGGGGGTGGGAGCCCAGGGCCCGGTTCCTCCGCAGGCCGCCAGGGGCGTGGCGCGAGGCGTATAAACAAACACTCAAGCCCGGCTCTAAATCGGGTTCGGATGCCGGCCTGGCTCTGCGCGTGGAAGAGGGTTATGTAAGGTGCGGTGCTCTGATGTCCTTCCAGAGGATCCCGGGCCTCAGCAGGGAATCTGTGGAGCGTGGGGGGTGCTCAGGCTGCAATGAATGACACTCTGCCCTTTCCAGAGACCTACAGACTGCGGGTGGGCAGCCCCAGGGGGCGGCGGGGAAGCTCGCCAGCCGAGCCCACAGCCCGGGTCCGAGTTTCCGGGGGAAGGTGGCCTCCCGGGCAGATGGGCATCTCAGAGCCCTCAGCGCTCGGGGCAGCCTATCCGTGTTTCACTCTCACATGGATGTTTCTCTGTCTCCCTCCCTCTTTCTCTAAAAAGCAATAAAAATAAATTAAAAAAAAAAAGACTAATAAGTTCCCATCTCCTTGCACTACTCCAGGCCCCCGTGGACTCCTGCTCCAGCCCGGGGCCTGGCCCTGAAGCCCCTGAACCCCCTGAACCCCCTGAACCTGTGGGCCTCCGTGTTTAAGAGAAGCGGGAGGCCTCTTTCCTGTTCTGTCTATGAAACCACCTTGTCCGAGAGGCGGGGTGGGCTGTGCACCTGGGCAGGGAAATGAGAGGGGCCCGCCTTTTCCATTCCTCTAATCTCTCCTCCGCCCCCTCCCGCCCCACAGGCACACCCTCCTCGTCTGAAAGTGTCCCCGGTGCCGGTTCCGCGAATCAGTGGGGTCAGCTTTGTGTGGGAACATGCATATTCATGAGGGCTTTGAGGAGCCTCATTGGCATGCGGGCAGTCCCTCCTTCCCGATGAAACAGAAGCCCTTCCCTTTATCTGTCCAACACCGTGTTCTTAAGGCAATAATTACTCAAGGAAAGGCTGAAGCAACATTTGAATTATTTGTTTCCGGTAATTTCTGGTCGTCTCGTTAGAATTATAATCGGCTCCTTTTTACAAAACCTCTCACTCACTCACATTTTATACTTGGAGTTTTCTGCGAGCACCTGCATCATTCCTGAAACCAAAGTAATTGTTTCTTTTTAATTCTGTTTTATTCCAGGAAGACTGCATCGCCAGGAGGTTTTGCCGGACGTTCCCGAACCACTCGTCTTTGGTAAGAAATACGGGCCTCGAGTGGAGCGAGGTTTTGCTCCCGATGCGTGGGCCGTGGACTTGTCATACGGAGGGAGGTGCGCTTCAGGCGGGCCGGGGCGGGCTCATGGCTGCTCCCTGGGCAGCTGTGTGTGTGATTTAACACTTGCCCCAGCGCCAGGCGTCCGGGGCTGGGGTTTCATTCACGGCCCAGGACCCGGTGAGCTCCGGGCTCACTGCCTGGGTGGGACACCTGTCCCCACCCTCCCCAGGGCAGTAGCAGCCTGCCCACCCCTTCTTGTTATGCTAGTGCTTCTGTAAGTCATGACCCTCGCCGAGTCCATTTATGTGTGTGTATCGGAAGCGGATACTTGCCACCAACGATGGGTGCCGTTCGGAACCTTTTATTATCAAATTTGGGCAACGTTATTCGTCTAGCAGAAGTCCACCATCGTGAAAGAACCAGGACACTGAGCAGCAGACTCTGACTTTGGTTAAAAAGAACTTTCCTGCCCTGGCCCGTGTGGCTCAGTTGGCTGAGCTCCGGCCTGTACACCTAGAAGTCGCCAGTTTGATCCCCTGGAGGGGACGTGCAGGAGGCAGCTGGTCAGTGTCTAGCTCTCGCATCAGTGTTTCTCTCTCCCTCTCTCTCTTTCAAATTCAANCCTCTCTCTCTCTCAAATTCAATACTGGGTTGTTGTTTTTTTAAAAAAAAAAGCTCTCCTAAGCTGCTCAGGGACAAGGGGTGGTCCCGTGTTCCTGTCGCNTCTCTTTCAAATTCAATACTGTTTTTTTTTTTAAAAAAAAAAAGCTCTCCTAAGCTGCTCAGGGACAAGGGGTGGTCCCGTGTTCCTGTCGCCCTGTGGGTGACACTGTCTTGCGACCCTGATCACATTGACAGACGTCGGCGATTGGCTTTTTCTTGCCCAGAGAGGACCTGTAGGAGCAGATTTGCACAGGCCCTTGTACCCAGGTGCCGGCGGAGTGCCCGGTACAGGGGAGATCACAGGAGGTGGTTCTGGACTGAAGATGAGTGGGTGCATCTCCTTTGGGGCCAGACACACCCCAGGGTCTTGGTTGTCAGGAAGCTGGTGCGTGGACCGGGGATGTCTTGTCGGTGTCCTGGGTGGACTCTGCGGTGGCTTCGGGGGTCGGGGCGCGTCCGTGAGGCATTTAGGAGACGTCGGACAGTCAGCCCCGTTTACGGGAAGCTTCCTCCAGGGTGAAGCGTCACGGGCGTCTCCTGGTTTTTGATGAGTTTGCGCATGGAAATAAATGACTGTTTTCCGGCTGTCCGTTTTTAAAGTTTCGAATTTACTTTTGTGCTCTCCATGAGGCCTTTGCATCCTGTTTTGATTTTCTGTTTAGAGTCATGAACGTATTTCAGCCTTAAAGGCCACGGTGGATGCGTCAGCCACCTCCCGGGAGCCTAGGCTCGAACCCCCCCCCCCC